AAAATGCGGTGAAAAGAAAAAGGGTACGTGATTCAAAATCCAATGAAAAGAAAGAGGGTAAGTTAACCAAAATACGATGAAAATGTAGAGGGCACTCAACCAATATTCAATAAAAACAAAGCGGGTACGCTAGCTAATATGTGATAAAATGAAAGTGGTTACGTTATATCAAATGCGATAAAAAAAAACAGGGAACGTAATATTATGGAGGGTACGTGAACCAAAATGCAATGAAAAGAAAGAAGGTACGCGAACCAAAATGCAATGAAAAGAAAGAGGGTACGCGAACAGAAATGTAATGAAAAGGAGGAGGGTACGGGAACAGAAATGTGATGAAAAGGAAGAGGGTACTCAACCAATATTCAGTAAAAACAAAGCGGGTACGTTAGCTAATATAGGATAAAATGAAAGAGGGTACATTATTTAAAAGGCAGTAAAAAGAAACAGGGTACGTATTAAAACTATGCGGGTAATGTAACGGATATTGACGTCAAAAATTAAATCGGACAGATGATTTCCATTTCCTTTCTAGTTACTGAGGTTTACTTCCTCACAAATAAGGCATGTCTTACCACTGATCACCCACCAGGAATGGCTTTAAATAACGGAAAAGAGTGAACCTTTTAACCTTCAGTGGCATCTCAGTCTAAGAAGGAAATCTCGAAATTCCAAAATATGGAGAAGGCAACGAGAATCCAATCCATTATCGTTCTTAAGGAAACTGGTGAGTGTAACCAAAATAAAATGCGTAAAAAGTTCAATCACCGAGCCGAATTTAAACGCCACCTCCTCACTTGCATTTACTTTGGCATCAATACTTCTAGGGAAGCATGAACCAATCTCAACTCCGAGCTACGGTTTTCAATAGCAGGGTAGAGCGGACTCTAGCCTTGGATAAACACTATTTTCGGAGAAGGAAAAATTTGAATTTTTAACCGTGGAGAAAGCAACGGAAAACCATTCCAATATATATATATATATATATATATATATATATATATATATATATATATATTTAACGAAGGCATAGCAATTCCTAGATCATAAAGAACAGGAACAACATCGTCTATGTCCTGTGAATCTTGAGAAAAAAAAGAAAGACTTATCTAATTTTTAACGAAATACGTCTCAAAAGCGTCGTCCGATGCATAATATTATCTAACCAGAATATTATACTCGCTCAGTTTGTTTTGCAGCAGGTTTAAAGGTCAATATGTTATTCGGGGTGACCACTCGTTAGTTAACCGTTGGCCGACTTTATTCAAACCGTTCTTGTTTTTGTCCGTTCCCTCAGCGTATTTTTATCTTCCACATTTTGTTTAAGATTGCCTCGGTTGGCCTGCTTTCTGTTTCTTACTTGTTTATGACCCAAAGCGGATTCCTGCCGCGTCTGCATAAACAAGCTGAGATCATTTTGATGCCAGATTCTTAATAAGAGATCTGCATTCCGGAAAAATAAACCATGTAACATGCTGTCGTTTTGTAGTTATGATGGACACACAGGCAGTGGTTTACGATGATATGTGGGACTTCATAGCAGAGGATGCCGTTTCAAACCTAGCGTAGAGCGTCATATCTTTTTTATATGTACTGATTCCTTTCAGGACGTGAATAGTCATGATTCTCCACAATTTCCTATCTGTTCATATTCTAACCAGTTCTTTTATATTTACTAACGATTTTTGTCTTTGTTCTGCTATCACTTCACTCAAACTTATTAACTGCGTTAATTACTGCCTTGCTTCTTTTATATTTAGTAATCTTGTTAAATTATCTAAGCCTATTTTGGATGTATTTTTCTAATTTGTATATGGAAGTTTTCTCGTATCTATTTTCAATAAGACATCTACGTTATATTTTGCCCATCGAATTTTTAGCATTTGTTAGTAGAACCACGTCTTTGTCGCTTTATTGATTGTTTGATAGTTTCATTTTTTACGGCTTATCAACGCTTTCCAGGTTGTTTAAAGACAGAAACTATTTTTAGATTCTAAGACATCTTCTGGGAGATAATCATGTTTTAGTGATAAAATTCTTACTATTTAACCCATAGCTACCTTTCCTTTTGCGCGTAAGTGAATATAAAGAAGCCAACGAGAATTAGAACACGACTCTCCGATAAATAAGTCCGAGCTATTATCTTTTACACCACCCGCACATCCAAAAATGACAGCATTACGGTAATTATTATATTCCACTCCCGTATTCCTTTCTTTATTTGCTATCTACATCATTCGGATTGTTGTCCTCATCTTTATTGCCATGTTCTCAACTAGGTGATATACGCAAGAATTTCGATACGAACCCATTATTTTTTTTCCACTAGGGTAGATTTTTCGCTATCTAAAATATTCTGGACATCTCAGTTTCAGTTTATCCCTTTAGTAACACAACTCTTTAAGTGGCCAGGTATTGAACTCACAACTCTTTGGGTCAAGTCACTTTCTTTTTATTCTCTTCAAACAACGATTATATCTATTGGGCCAGAGATATTCTCTAATATTTAAAGTTGAAATAATAAACAGAGAACAGCACTGGAAAATATGAAAGCTTAAGGAATCAGTGAACATGCTAAGCCACAAAAATCTCCTAAGACGGTCAAGCATACAAGATGGGAACTAGGGGAACCTCGACGTGGTGGAATGGTTAAGCTTGTCTTGATAGATCAGTTACTACTGAAAAGTGAGTTCGATCTTCACTGGATACCCCATGCTTTCGGCCTTGTGCCACATCTAAGCTTCGCTTGGAAAATCTTTACAATATGCGAACCAGTAATACAGAGAGCTAAAGAAAAGCAACAATAAGAAATTTTAATATGAGACATTAGTTTTATTAATCCCTCAAAACTCTTGGCTAAGTTTTCTCAAGGACACGATCGTAAATAATTCTTTGTAACATTTCCAGTTCTTTCTTGTGAGTGTCTCCTGAAAATAAGGATTTCTCTGCTTTCTTTTTTTTGACGTTCCCAGCATTTCTAGTTTTCTGAGATGAGGCATTATGTACACTATTTACATTATTCGGACTATTGTCCTCATCTTTGTTGCCATATTTATCGCAACGATTCGGCCGTTGTACGCTCCGGCCTTCTTCAGTTGATTGGAATGTCGAACAGAACCCTTTATTTCTCTCGTTGGGGTAGACTGTTCTAGTTCCATGTTTAATGGATGTCAGTTATCTCCTGTTATTTCACCTCTCCAAGTTCTCCACTGCCTTAACCGGGTATTGAACTCACATTCTTTGGGTCCTATCACTTTATCCCCTATGTCATATGTCCTAAATGACTTCTGTGTATGTATTTCTAGGACTTATAAAATTTATGTCTTCAGTAATCATTATTGACCAGTTCTCATATTGCAGTTTTTGCTGTTATCATCAATTTTTTTCTAGAGTTCATATTGAAATTTTTGTTATTATTGCTTTTCTGTGGCACTCCTTATTACTGGTTCCCATATTGTATTAATTTCTATGCTTGGTCGGCTCTGGAGATTTTTGTGGCCTAGCATATGTGCTGATTCCTTACTTTTACGAATTTTCTAATGGTTTTCCTTGTCTATGATCTCAACCAGATCCCACAGAGGGTGGTGATCTCCCTTTTCTCTGCATATGTGGTCAGCCACGACTGATTTTTCCACTTCCCCATCGTGTTACAGCTTTCTGGTGTTCTTGAAGCCTTACCTTACAAGAGGAGGACAAAAACACTCAGAAAACAGTCTGCCTGCCTTATGTCAAGGGGTTATCGAAGAAAATACAAATGATCTGCGGTCCATATAACATCAGGACGAACTTCCAAAGTTGAACGACACTTCGCAGATACCTCTCACGAATAAGAGTCTTCATAGAGGAGAACATGTCTAAAGACTGTGCACGCCATCCCGTGTAGCTCCGATAAGAAATATAAAGGTGAGACAGGCCTCCCCTTAAGGTAAGGCTATTTCAGAAGATGGTTTCGATGACTTTTTTCTTCCTGAAATGGGGTGACATATAAACTTCACATTCTTGGCTCGCTCAGCAAAATTACTGAGAATCTATTCCATTTCCTCTGTGCAACGCTTGTAACATACATACTAAACTGGGTCCTGTTCGAAATACAAGCAAATGTTAACTGAAGAAGGTACAACAGCCTAAATGTTGTGAATGTGACAATAAAAATGGGCAAAACAGTTCGAACAATGGAAATAGCGCAACTATTTAAAATACTTCAGGTTAGACATCGAGACAGTTGTTTCTAAAATGTATTTTAAAACATTTATTCAGAAAAATAAAATTCTCAAGTTCGCTAAAGGTTATCTCCCTTTCTAAAATTTATCTCGGTTGCTAATGTGAAAATTCAACAACTTCATCCTATATCATTTTCCATTTCTGTTTTAAGTGCTACGCAATGTATTCTTTATTACTGTTGGAAGTATTCAACTGAAGCGTTTTTTGTTTGGTAAAGGTCTATGATTTTGATTGAGTAGCAACAGTTTATACGACGTCAGGAATGATTTTAATCTTTAAAGCGTAAAGTATACATTGCTTAAAACCATTCAGAGTCATTGATATGAGGAAACAGTTATACGAAGATAGTTTAGACAATTTTAAAACCAATAGCACTCCATGCATGACTTCCATCAATATTCTGTATCCGTTAGCAGATAATAGGGTCTATTTACCGATACGTCACATCGGCTGACGGGTTAATCAACTACCCGGGCGAAAAATGAACTTACCTGTCCATGTGTAACATGGTGTATGCGTGAAGTATTGGATTTTATGTAAACTTTAAGGATTAGATAAATAAAATGTCTAGCATTATGTTTCTGAAATAGGATATATTTAATAGGGTAAGTTAATGATCACAAGACTCGGATATTAGCTGTCAGGTCTGGTATCGCAAACCAACCATCAGAAAAAAAAAGAAAGAAATAGGAAAAAAGATGACATGGTATGAGTGCTTTTTTTATTTGACTGTAAATAAACGAATCAGAAATCAACGAGAACGCGTTGAGATTTCTTTATAAATGCCATCTATCTCTTTATCTATCAATATATCTATCTATCGCATTCTATTCATACCTGTCTCATTCATTTTCATATCTATCTATCTATCTATCTATCTATCTATCTATCTATCTATCTATCTAAGTCTCTTCATATCTATCTCATTCTGTTATCTATCTATCTATCTATTTATCTCACTTTATCTCTGCGTGTTATCAATCTTCTCTCTCTATCTCTCTTTGTCTCTCATTTCTATCTATCTATCTATCTATCTGTTTGTCTATCTATCTATCTATCTATCTATCTATCTATCTATTTCACGATGTTATCAATCTCTCTATCTCTATCTCTCTGAGTCTGTTTGACTCGGTACAATTTTATCTATCTATCTATCTATCTATCTATCTATCTATCTATCTATCTATCTCAGTCTCTTCATATCCCTCTATCTATCTCAGTGTGTTAAAATCTCTCTCTCTCTCTCTATCTCTCTATCTCTCTCTGTCCGATTCAGTTCATTTCTATCTATCTATCTATCTATCTATCTATCTATCTATCTATCTATCTATCTATCTATCCTTGTCTCTTCATATCTATCTATCTTTCTCAGTCTGTTATCTATCACTGTATCTCAGTGTATTATCAATCTATCTCTATCTCTTTCTGTCTGTCTGATTTGTTTCATTTCTATCTATCTATCTATCTATCTATCTATATATCTATCTATCTATCTATCTATCTATCTATCTAAGTCTAATATTAAACACCAAGGCGAGAAATGAAAACTAGATTGTGTCTTTAAAATATTTCGTTGTTTATTTGGAGGATTCTCATGAACGGTCTCTGTACGTAGGTAGATTGCTAGGTAGGTGAAAGTTGGTGACGGCTTTCTGCTATTTCTAACATCTCAGACAAACACAACAGCTTTTTCCTCTCACACGGCTAGAATTCTGAATTTTTCCTACCCTCTATCTCTCTATCACTATATCCCGCCAAACTCATCACTACTTCAATCTGATTGCGTCAATTAATATATGCTTTCGACCGGATGTTTTCTATTTGCAGTTTATTGTCATTTATTCCACAAATATTTTCAATTAAGATCACGCCATATTTGTTTATGGGATCATATTAAATCTTCATCAGTATATCAAAAATCTTTGAATACTTTGAAAGCGTCGTGTCTAGAAATTCTAAGAATATCTATCTATCTATCTATCTATCTATCTATCTATCTATCTATCTATATCAATCTGTTCATATCTATCTATCTATCTATCTATCTATATCAATCTGTTCATATCTATCTATCTATCTATCTATCTATCTATCTATCTATCTGTCTGTCTATCTATCTATCTCTGCCTAATAAGAACAAAAGCTAAAGCTTAAAATAAACTAAAAGATTATAATATAAAATAATCTGAGAGCTCAATGTCAAAGTAAATGTTATAAAAGAAATATTAATTCAAAGATTTAAGAAACAGCAAATTATATTTTTATATATAATTCTCAATATTAAAAATATTAATATAAAAAAAATAGCGCGTTAATAATATTAAGTGAAAAGATTACTTAACTTTTAAATATTAATTTTAACCCGACTTCGAAGTTTCATAGTAAAATTTCCAGACTTCAGAAATTTTGCTTTTGTTTACGTTTGTTATTTTTTCAGCTGCAGATTATTCTTCCACTGGTAATTTTTTTCGAAATTAAATGTTTCTTTGAAAATAAATTATTTTTTAATGGTTTATATAAAAGCTGCTATGTTATATCATTAATTAAACTGGAATATTTGTTAATTGTTATTATTAATTAAATTATATAATATAAAAAAAAATTACCCCATATAATATCACCAACCCGAAATGCAGACTGTGTTTCAATATTAACTTTTAGTAATCAAATTAAATGATTAAATAAGAAAATGACATAATGGGTCGATATCTACATATTAACAAATATTTTCTGTGTTACTTTAATAATAATACTTTGAATTAATAAATTCATTTAAATATTCATTAAAAATATTAACTAAAATATTATAATTTAATTAATAATAAAAATAATTATTTAATTATTATTTCATTAATAATAAAAATTGACAAATATCACAATTTGAAATTATGTTACAATTCCAATATTTTATCATTTTTGAAAAAGAACGCTCATGAAGTTTCCATGGAAATTTGAGATATGAAAGCTTTATTTTTAATTATGAAATGGGTCGCCCCCCACGCCAAAAAAAAAATGATATCATTTTTTAGTCTAATAACCTTGTGAATTATCGCTCAAAATGATATCAAATATTGACTGTGTGGACTTATCCCAATTAGAATCTACCAAGAAGATGGACCGGGCGTTCCAGTGATAATGACAATGTACTGTTCACCGCTATCTATTTATTTATGCATGTATGCATGTATGTATGTATGTATGTATGTATGTATATATGTATGTATGCATGTGTGTATGTATGTATCTATCTATCTATCTATCTATCTATTTATCTATTTCATTCTGATCACATCTATCTATCTATCTATCTCTTAAAATATAAAATAATGCTGAAATCAACGGAAACTTAATATAGGTTATACTGATATAAAATGTTTATCTCTCTCTCTTTCACTCTCTCTCTCTCTACACACACACACACACACACACACACACACACACACACACACACACACACACACACACACACACACACACACACACACACACACACACACACACACACACACACACACACACACACACACACACACACACACACACACACACACACACACACACACACACACACACACACACACACACACACACACACACACACACACAGGTGAAAAAGTGACTGAGGTCGAGAAGCCAAGTCAGGTTTGGATTCCATTGCATATCCTTTTTTGGATATTTTCAAGAACCTCAAGATGAATAGCAGAAGCACCAGACCAAATATGGTAGCATTATGGACGAATGGTAGAAATGTCTGGGGTGTGTTATAACAGCGGGTGGGCAATGCGTTACCGAATTTCGAACCCCGCACTGAAATATTCAAAGATGCCTCACCAAATCTAAGCAGAGTACTGAGGAACAGGAAGTTTTCTTTGAAGAGAAATAGTGCTGAATGTCTATGCAATATGAATCCTGCAACATAGAAATGTATGATCGTTAATATGCACACACAAGTTAGAATTTGCGGCATTAGAAATATGAATCTGCAGGAGGATTCTGAGAATACAATGGGTGGAGCGCTTTAGTAACGACGTGTCCTCATAACCACTAAAGGCCAAATCGGTGCTCAAAAGATAGCGGATATTTTACCAACACCAACAGAATCCTAAGATTAGCTTGCAACACATAACAAGCTAAACTTAGGATCTTCAATTAATTGTCATCGTGTGTTATATAAACGCAGTACATACGATTCTTAATCCAGAGTCCCTTATATCCGGGCAAGAAGTAGATCGAACGTTCGATGAAAGTCTTCGACAAAAAAACAAAATCTTCAATTTGACGGAATTCAGATCTGAATAAACAGTCATTTTAGTTATGAAAAATGTTAGGCTCGCATTCTTATAATATAACATTAGTTGTCAACGAAAGAAGCAGCCATTGTGATTCACTTTGCATGGTAGAGCAGACATATTATTTTGTTCAAACATGAATATGAAAGTGTTTTGAGTCATAGATTGTGTAGTCAACGAACTAAGAGGCTACAGTGGTTTCATGTATGATGATACCATTGCTTCAGATTGCATTTACCGTGCAAGAAACTTGTTTCCGAGTTGGAAATGGTATATCTATAAACACTCTCATGAAATTAAGAGTAGCAAAACGGATTCAACAAAAGAAGAAACTGATGGTTTTCAATATTGCCATATTTGTCTACGCTGAAGTATGCATTAAAAATCATACCTGCGTTCTTTAGTATCTTTCTATATTTCTGAGATGAGGTATTATGTACACTATTTACATTATTCGGACTACTGTCCTCATCTTTGTCGCCATATTTATCACAACGTTTCGGCCTTTCAGTATCTGTCTATATTTCTGAGATGAGGTATTATGTACATTATTTACATAATTCAGACTATTGTCCTCATCTTTGTCGCCATATTTATCACGTTTCGGCCTTTCATTATCTGTCTATGTTTCTGAGGTGAGCTATTATGTACACTATTTACATTATTTGAACTATTGTCCTCATCTTTGACACTATATTTATTACAACGTTTCAGCCGTTGTACAATCCGGCTGAAACGTCGTAATAAATATGGCGACAAAGATAAGTACGCTAGTCCGAATAATGTAAATAGTGCTGCGTTTATGAATTGTTTTCAACTAAAGAGAAACTTATGTACTTAAAGGAATAAGAGGCCTTAGGGGTTCTATGAATTGATAAATGTTGATACGTCTTCAGATTTCTTGTCATACATAATAGACTTTTTCATGTTTAAACTGTTACGGCGCTTAAAAACTTTTGACATTAAAATGAACGAAATAAGCGGGTATGTTGTTTTCCTGAATTGCTGGATTTTGACTCCTCTTCAGTTTGAATTGCATGACATAATTGCGTTTTTATGATTAACCCTTTGAGCTCTGCGTTCCTGAACAATTGAAACACTTCTCCCTGAGGTCCTGTGTCAAAATACGAAAATAATTGGTATATAATGTTTCATGGTAGATATAAAAATAGTTACAAAAATAGTTACTTCCTCATTGTTTTCCTGACGCTTCATGGTAAAAACGATCTTTTTTATCCAAAAAGAAATGCTCAAAACACAATGAAAAAGCGCAGACATGTTGGTATAACGTTTGATGACATCAGAATATTACGGCTTTTCTGATTGGCTCTTCAAAATAAGACAACCAATAGCAAAGCACAAGGCAAGTGTTTACCCACTGTTCAATCGATGTCTGGGCATTAAGTCATTTTTCTCTATCACGATAAAGCGGTGATCAGCGCTCAAAGGGTTAATCACTGTCATCACTATAAATTGTTTGAACTACATTTCAGCTAATATATTTATCGAAATAAGAGGATACTGTGATAATATGTATTGATAGATGTTGACAATACTTTAGAGTGCGTTGTCCTGCAACATATATTTTTTATTATTTTTATATTGTTTCGGAATATTTTTTTTCATCTTGGTTGTTATAGATGCTATTATAGACACAAGTTTTTCACTACTCCTCCATAACGAATGACATTAATGATACGTCACTTGAACTTTTTATATTCAATGGCTGATAATTTGATATGAATCGAAAACAACAATGCAAAATAATAAAAAAAATTGATACTTACTCGTGGAAGAAATAAAAAAGTAAGTTATGAAAAACTGTAAGAATCCGCCATGTTAACCAAATCCCCAAAAATCATCTGATTTTGAATATAAAATGATCCTAAAACACACCATGGATACAGTGGATATAGAGGTTGTTAGTTCAATCCTTGGAGATGGTTGTGGCGCCCTAATTCACTAGGAACAAACAATAACTGTTAACACAGGGACAGATTATCCAACAAATCAGCAGATATCCCGTATCAGCTAATCAACAAATACCTGATGTTAACCAGCGAATATTTGGTCGAAACGTTTTGTCTACAATAACATCTATATCAACCAAAATGGGAAAAGAGATCGAAATAATACAAGAATATGGACAATTATTCGCGTCACAAATGAAATACTGAATGATATTTTCTTGTTTATACGGTTGCATCTTTAAAAGTTGCTTTGAAACTAGGTGTAAGAACTAGAATAAACGAGTAAGGTTTGATATATTCGCTGTGTAATATAGGGCATATCTGTTTTCTTTTAGTTAAAATATATGGTTTTGAACTATATAAAAGATTGTGTACTCAACGAAATAAGGGGCAATGGTGGTTCCATGTATTTCTAAAATGTTTTGCTGCTTATGAAAGAAGATGCATTATTTGTTCCATGAATTGTTTGAACTTGATATTGATTTATTGCGTATTGCAGGGAATGATATCTAGTTAGGAGTTTAAATAATTATAAATCGAAAATTTCTTTTGAACTGAGGAGTAACCAATACAGTAAAAAAATGAGATTCTATGGTCTTCCTATGTTCTGCTTGAGTTTCTTTTCGATCCAGTTCGTATTGTAGTGACTTATGACAGGTTTACATAGCTCTTACCATTATGGTAATTTTCTAAGCTTAACTTAGATGTGGCACAAAGCCGTAAATATGGGGCACACAGTGAGGATCGAGCTCACTGTTCAGTCATACTTGATCTAGCCAGTCAAACTTGCTAACTATTATAAAACGTTGAGGTACTCAAACCTTTATCATTATGTGGACTATCTTTATTCCTGGTGTTATTTTGTCGAGTAT